TGAAACCCACAGCGTCCCTTTTCAGCAGGAAGTAGCTAAGAGAATACGCCATCCCCTTTTCCTTATGACTCAGGGTGAAGTCTCTCTCAGGGAGGAGTGATAGGGAATGGCAAAGGACACACTGACAAAGAAGATTAATCAGAACTGGCTTTGACAAGCACTGTGGCATTTGGACAAGAACAAACTGGGAGGAGGGTAGAGAGAATAGTGCAACAATGAATGAATGGAAACCCAAAATCTCTGTAAATGTTTGTGAAAATTAATAAAATATAATTATAGGAAAACAAAACAAAAAAAATTGCTTGCTATGCATCAGAGAGCTGGACAATGCGTAAGGATGGCAGAAGAAGAATTGATGCCTTGGAGTTATGGTGCTGAAGAAGAGTATTGAACATGCCATGGACTATTGAGAGAACAAACAGGTGTGTCCGGAAGAGTGTGACACCAGTTTGCTCCTTTACTTTGGGCATGTGGCCAGGAGGTAGCAGTCCTTTGAGGAGGACATCACACTTGGAAGGGCAGAGGGTCAGCACAGTATAGGAAGACCCTGTATGAGATGGATTGACACAGTGACTGCAGCAATGGAGGCAGGTGTGTCAGACAATGGGACTAGCTCAAGATAGAGCAGGGTTCAGAGTCATTGTTCAAAGGGTTGCTACAATCATAAGTGACTCAACAGCACAGAATAACAACAACAGTTGAGCACTTAATCTTTTCTCCATCCATCCAGTCTCATCGAAATTTAGTATTATTGGAACTTGTCCAAGAGTCAGGGCTCCACTTTCATCACCAACTATACAACTTCAAGCATACTCTACACCCATAAAACGAGGATTTTAATACAAGCTGCGCAAGATTAGTGGAGAATTGTCTGTGATGGATCACCAGGTCTGCTGAAGGAAATGTTGGCTTCCATCCATCTCGAGTTTCCTTATCTAAGTGAGTGAGAATCAAACGTCCAGCTTTCACCTTTGTCTAAAGGAGCCCTGGTAATGCAGCGACTAAGCACTCAACTATAAACCAAAAAGATCTGCAGTTCCAACCTACCAGTGACTCTGCCGAAGAGAAATCTGTGAAGATTTATACCTTGGAAGCCCTGTCTGAGAGGGCCCTTGTTCATCAGAAAGTCAGTTCAATGACAATGAGTCTGTCTGTTGTTTGTTGGGATGGAGGGAAGTCAGGGCTCTATTGGTTTAAGATCACATGGTAACCAGTTAACCAGTTGCCCTTGAGTCAACTTCAACTCATCTAACCAGTCATCCAGGTGCCCTCAAGTCAATCCCGACTCTTCTAAACCCACTGTGTTCCAGAGGGTTTTCAATGATTGATCTTTCATTAATAGCTCACCAGGCCTTTCTTCTGAGATGCTCAAAACACCAACTTTTTGATTACTCTTTGATCACTGATTGTGGTGGTAGTAGCGGTGGTGTTAGGTGTCATCAAGGTATGTATGACTACAACTCTATGAACAACAGATCTGGACCTGTCCTAGTCTTCACCATCTTTATCAGCAATACACCTGGGCCCATTGCCTCAGTCGCTATATCAATCCACCTCATAGAGTGTCTTCCTCTCCTTGGCTGACACTCCATTTTTCGAAGCATCTTGTCCCTTTCCAAGAAATAGTTTCTCCTAACAGCATGCCCAAAATACATGTGATGAAGCCTCACCATCCTTGCCTCCAAGGAGTGCTCTGGTTGCACCTTCTCCAAGACATATCTGTGGGTTCTTCTGGCAACACATGAGATGCCCGTGGAAAGAAGGAAAAGAAGAAAGTGACTGAAGGAGAGAGGGAGTGAATGAAAAATAAATTCTTAGGAATCTGTTTGTTACTGCCTTTCCCTGAGCAAACATCTAGGTGTGAAACTCCTAGTGGGGCCTTTGGCTGCCCTCAACACACCCACAGCCTGGGGCCAGGGCCTGATAAGGTGACAGGCTTCTGGAGACTGGGTGGGGCACAAATGAAAATACTGACTTGGGAGCCCAGTGGGCAAGACCTCTCCCTCCAGATGCTGCTCCTGCCCTGGGCCCTCCCACCATCTGCAGGGCTCCTGGAGAGAGGGCTGGCTCACACCTGAGCAGAGGACAGGTAGGTGTCGTAAAAAACTTTTGTTCATGGGTCATGATAAAAATTAACTTCTTACTGTAACTGTGAAACATCCACTCCGGAAGAAAAACCACGACTGTGGAGTTCATTTCAACTCACTGCAACCTACTAGGAAAAAGTAGAATTGGGTTTCCAAGGCTGTAATCATTACGGGAGGGAGTTCTGTTGGCTTCATTGTAAGGAATTACACTACCAGTTTAGAGGAATGCAGTTCAAATCCACCAGCTGCTTTGCAGGAAAAGACAGGCAATCTCCTCTCCTGTGACTTACTACTGTCTCTGAAAACCTGGAGGGTCAGCTGTGAGTCGATTACAACTTGAGGGTAAACAACAACAATCTTTAGGGGAGCATCTTTCTTCCGAGGAGCTACTCATGGGTGGGATTCAAACCACTGAACTTTAGGCTGTTGTGTGTTACCACAGAGTCGGAATGGCCCATAGATGACCCTTTGATGGCTTTTCAGAGGCCATTAATCGCATTTGCCCATCCTCCTGTGGAGCAGCTGGTGGCCTTGAACCACGTGTCTTCAGGATTGTAGCACACCTTCTTGCCACTAGGCTACCAGAGCTCCAGCCTAATTCTTTAATCACTGTGTCACCAACGGGACTCCTTATTCCTATGAACCAATTGCCAAAATTATTGGGAAGTCACTGCTTTAGATAATGCTGTTGCTAGTGTTTTCACTGAAAGAGTGAAGTAATTTATTGTGACACTGTCCTGACAGAGCTCAGGCCCTTTTGCAGAACTGGGTGGGGCGGGGTGGGAGGTACAAAGCTTGTACAGACTTAGTCTAAGAGCTTCATGGAGGTGAGTAAGTAGGGGGAGAGTGAGATGGGCCCTTGCTGAGAGGCCAGCAACTGGGAAGCCTGGAACCCAGGATCAGGGCAGACCTGTGGACCTTGCACGAGCTTCCCTAGTGAAAATGCCTCATCTCAGTCACACGAGGGGCTTGTCCACACTTTGAGATTACTGCATCTGCCTGGACTTCAATGATGGTGACAGTAGAACAAGAATGTTAGAGATGCCTGGCTTCATCCTCCTGTTAAACCCTCCATTCCTGCCCCTAGGCCTTGGAGTTTCTGTGTCCCAGCAAAGACTGGCAAGCTTCTTACACACCTCATTCAATTCTTCTTCCACACCCATCTAACCACAATCTACCTACCCCTGCATGCAAACACAGAATGCACACGCACCCTTCACACAGTCAAGCCCTGTTTGATATAAATTCAGCTTGTGAAAGGGCAGGAAGGGAGAGTGGGTGGGACTGTAAGTGGAGCAGGAAAAAGCTCTCTCATCAAGGAGGGGCTATTCTTTGGAGAGGGACGCGAAGCTTGGAAAGGTGGAGGGTCGGTGAAGGAGAGGAAGACCCTTGACCAAGTGGATTGACACAGTGACTGCCACAGTGGGCTCTAGTGTGTCAAGAAGTATGCAGACACAGGAGAGGACAGGCTTCAGATCTGTTGTTCATAGGGTCTCAACAAACGAGAAATCAGAGACAACTCCTCTACTATCTTGGCTGCTCAAATTATTGCGTGACACACCCAACTGCCAGAATGGACCCTGTACCTCTGCTTGAGAGTAAAACCAGCACTCCTTGATCCATGGCTTAAAAGGAAGGGGGAAAAAAAGAAGAGGCATCTCCAATCACAAGACCAGCTCTGTGTGTTATTGAGAGAACTATTGTCTCACACGAATTGGATACCCCGGGATTTCAATACCAGCTCTGCACTTCTCAGTTGAATTAATTCCTTGATCTCACTGAGCCTCCAAGTAGTCTTAATGCTGATCACCTGTAAGGTAGGGAAACTAAATGCAACTCTCTGTTGGGATAGCACCATCCAGAATCTACTCTGTTCCAAGGTCTGTGTGTAGATCAGTTAAAAGGGGATGTCTGTGCATACCCATGTTTATTGCAGCTTTGTTCACAATAGCAAAGATTTGGAAACAATCTAAATGTCCATCAACAAACAAATGGATAGAGAAGCTCTGGTATAGTCACACAACGGAATACTACGCTGCATTGAAAAACAAAGAACTCATGAAATATTACACAAAATGGATGACCCTGGAGGACATTATGCTGAATGAAATATCTCAGTCACAAAAGGACAAATATTGCATAGTGTCACTGTTGTAAAACAGGACTGACATCAGGGTTGAGGGGAAGCTAAGAGGGAATAAAAAAATGTATGCTTCATTTAAAAAAAGAAACTATAGATAATAATAGAATAAATATTAGTATGTTAGCATCATGTTTAAGAAATAAAACATAACAAACATAGTCATTTAAAAAAAGGGATGTCTGACTTGCTGTCATCATTGCGTATCATTGAGTTGGAATCAACCATAGCTGACCCTCCAGCGGGTTTTCAGAGGCAGTAAATCACACAGGAGGAAACTGCCCATCTCTCTCCCTCAGGGCAACTGGTGGATTCAAACCTTGTACCTTTGAGGTGGCAGCACACTTCCTTACCACTAAGCCACCAGAGATGAGAGACTGTTACACCAGCTGTGGATATTTATGGCAATGGTCAAGGTATCAACCAAGCTTCCACAAAGAAATCGCTTCAGGAAAAGCCTGGAGACTCCCCTCCCCAAGGGCCCTTCCCAGCTTCTGAGTCACTGACTTTCGCCTCAACCTTTACCCCCTCCTTGAATAAAGGCTGCACTCACTACAAAGTGAATTTGTGTGGACTTTATTTTGAAGAGGGCAAAAAATACAACGAACTGACTTAGTCGGGATCATAGGCTTTTAAAAGACAGTACTTCAAGCAGTGGATTCCCTCAGGGTGGGCTGAGGGCTTGACACTATGCCTCAGGTCTTCTGACCTCCTAGGCCCTGCACAGCTTCCTTCCTCGAAAGCTCGCAGTTAGAAGGGGCTTAAGTGGCCATTCACTTGGGCAACACATCAGAAGACTCGGACACCAGCTTCCCATCACGGGTCTCAATCTTCTTCACAACAACCGCCTTGGAGCTGGTGCGGCTGAAGGTGCTGGAACCTCCACTGGAGCCGAAGTTCAGGCCGTAGTTGATTCCAGGGCTTGTGAGACCCCCGTAGGCTGAGCTCAGCCCACCTGATCAGGAACAGAGACAGCCACATGAGCACATGGTCTCCTCGCGTGTCAGGCCCCACCGCCTCTACCCTGCTCACTCCCTACACACCACTGCCAAGGACGGGCACTCTAGTCATGACTGCCAGGTTCATGGCCCCAGAGCATCAGGGGGGAATGGGAGCAGTGTGAGAAAGAGCTCAGTGTTAGCTCTGTGGCCTCGGGTAGGTCATTTAATGGGATCTCAGCTCCCTCTTTTATAAAAATAGGAAGTTTTACAGAGACTGTGTAAGTGGTAAATAAAATACAGCATGTAAAAGTACTTAGCACTGTGCCTGGCACAGAGCTACCATTCAGTTGGATATTTTCTATTGGTTTCTATGAGAGTGATCACTGTATGGGTTCTGCTGATGATATCCCCACCACTCTGAGATTCCCCTAGCAGCAAGGATCCTGCTCCTTCTCGTGGACTTTCTCCTCAACTGCCAAGTGCTCAGAATCAGGTCCCACTACAACTCGCTAAGCACAGTCCACCTCCCCCTAACTCAGGCCTGCTTGCTGGGGGGACCTTCCAGGAGGATAGATGCAGGTCTCGTCCTTCTCCTCAGCGTCCAGGACACTCACCGGCATAGCCACTGGTGGTCTTCGTGTGGATGCTCATGTTCTGCATCCCAGATTCCAGCCTGTACCCAGAGAACACAAGGGATATGAGGACCCACTTCCAGCCCTTCCTGCTCCAAGACAACCCGCACCAAGTTCTAAAGGGGCGGGGCAAGCACCTGCCCATCTCGGGTCTCAGGTCTCAGGGCCAGCATCAGAGACCCCCGAACTCACCGGCTCTCCTCGCCCTCCAGCAGCTTCCTGTAGGTGGCGATCTCGATGTCCAGGGCCAGCTTGACGTTCATCAGTTCCTGGTACTCGCGCAGCTGCCGGGCCATGTCCTGCTTGGCGCGCTGCAGGGCAGCCTCCAGCTCGGCCAGCTTGTTGTTGGCGTCCTTAATGGCCAGTTCCCCACGCTGCTCTGCATCAGCAATGGCAGCCTCCAGGGAAGCTCTCTGAGGAGGCAGGATGTCAGGTAAGCAGACGCCTTCCTTAGAGTCCCTGACCCCAACAAACCCATCCCACCCAAACTCAAAGGGAACCCCAGAAGTGAGACTGAGGAAGCTCACTGAGAATGGAGCCCTAAAACAGCTTCCGGGAACTTCTCACAAACTCCTCACTTGTGACACTGTATGACGCCAGCCCCACCCTAACTGTAGAGCTCTCCAGTGTCTGTTGTTATTAGGTACCATCGAGTCAAGTTCGACTCATAGTGACTATGAACAACAGATCTGAACCCTGCCCTATGCTGTGCCATCCTCATCATATCTGACACACTTGAATCCTTGCTGATGTCACTATGTCCATCTCGTTGAAGGTCTCCCTCTCCTTCACTGACCCTCCAACTTTCCTAGTATGATGTCCCTTTATCTCCTAGCAACATGTCCAAAGAACGTAAGATGAAGCTTCCCCTTCTTTTACCTTTAGGGAGCATGTTCTTAAAACATCTGAGCCCTATCACATCCTGATATATGACAGATTAAATAAAGCAGGACTGAGGGCCTTTTCTAGACCTCAACTTGCCTATCAATCCCCTTCCATCCTGTTATAGCCCTAAGATCCCCTTAGTGCTGGTCATTTTCTCAAGAACAATCTAAAAATTGGGCCATAACTCAAACTCTAATCTATGATTCCAGCCCCTGGCCCCCAGACCCTCACTCCTTCCGACATTGTCTTCTCACTTTAATGCGTCTGAGAATCCTCTCCCCACCCCAGGCCAATTGGGCTCATACCTGGCCTTTGAGCCCCTCGATCTCAGCCTGGAGACGGCTGATACTCCGGTTCATCTCGGAGATCTCAGTCTTTGTACGACGAAGGTCATCTCCATGCTTTCCAGCCATTGTTTGCAGCTCCTCATACTACAGTGAGAGATGAGATGTGAGGCCTGAGGAAGGGCCTCCACACACAAGGCACCCTCCACCCAATGGAGAGGAAAATTGCCTGCTCTGCCAGGTCATCTTATTTCTCCCCGACCCCAACCAGCCTGCTGGACTTTCTCCCAGGCCTCCAGGCACAGGCAATCCAGCATCCACCCCGCAGAGTATGGAGTCTTGCCCCTTCCTTGTAACCAGCGCATAGGTACGGCTGCAGTGGGGACAATCTAGAAACGAACAGATGACCCTGCTGCTCACCTTGATCTGGTACATGCTCTCAGCCTCTGCACGGCTGCGGTTGGCAATCTCCTCGTACTGGGCCTTGACATCAGCGATGATGCCGTCCATGTCCAGGGAGCGGCTATTGTCCATGGACAGCACCACAGATGTGTCTGAGATCTGGGACTGCAGCTCACGGAGCTCCTACCATGGAGGGAAAGAAGGGGTGAAACTCTCTCCCTGCCTGCAAGGAACCCCATTTCACAGAAAGATCTCCCTTCTTTACTAAGACGTGGCAACTAAAAGATAAGATGGGGCAGCAGAGCAGAGCAGCCGGTAGAAGTCAGGACTGAGAAGCAACATGGGTCAAAAGACCTGGAACATGGAAGAAGGTAGAGATGAAATGAGATAAGGATAAAAGAAAGTTTTGGTTTTGAAATTTTGGCTTTGAATATGAACTCAGAAGACTCCATCCATCTATCCAGCTACCAGTGCTTACATCCCCAGAGGGATCCTATGTGTCTCAAAGGTTAGGAACAAAGGCTCTGGATACAGAATGGTTCTGATTGTGCAGCAGATAACCACTTTCTGCATGATGAATTTGGACAAGTTGTTTCATTTCTCTGTACCCACTTCCTCCTCTGTGAAATGGAAGAACCCACCCTCATATAGGGACATAGTGCGTGTGGAGCACCCACGCTAAGATAGTGTCGGTAGCTGTGATTATTCATGGTGGTCCTTGTCTGTTGCAGTGGTAGGTGCCAGAGTGGAGGGACTGTCTTCCAGCCCCCACAAACGTACCTCTCCATACACCTGCCTGAGGAAGTTCACATCATCACCCAGTCCTTCCAGGCGAGTCTCCAGCTCTACCTTGTTCATATAAGCTTCATCCACATCCTGGTGATGCAGAAAGAGCATGAGTTGAATACTCACATCCAGCACCATCTTAGGGCTCCAAATAGGCCACTTAATAGTTTAGACTTAAGAACCTTCTCGCTATCTTTCCCACACCCATTATGGGGCACAGTCCTTGACTCCATTGTACCTACACCCCCAGTCCTTCACATCTGCTTCCAGAGAAGCCTTTTGTGGTCAGAGTCTCAATTCTACTGCTCCATTTTACCATGTCCCAATTCCAATGTCTAGAATTCTGTCAAGATGTACCTAGTTATCTCTCTGACCTTAACTACCTTTCTATGCTGTGTACGTAGGAGGCATTCAGATGTTGAAATACTAGGAAACATTCAGGGCAGAACCTAGAAAGCCTCTTCTTAGTCCAAGTCTCTAAAGTCCCAGACTAACTGGAGATGTAAGTACTCCCTCACCTTCTTGATGAGGACAAATTCATTCTCCATCTCGGTTCTCTTGTTGATCTCGTCTTCGTACCTGGTGAGGAAATTTGGCTTAGAATAAGATTAAAGGTAAAGATGAGGCAGCCCTAGGTCTTTTTGAAGGGAAGGGAACTTTGAATATCTAGAAAATATTGTTCATAAAATACACAGAATATATATCCTCAAATCCATATTGTATTGCGAGGGTTAGAAGCAGGGACCAACATAAGACCTCAGAGAGAACTTTCTGGAGTTTACAAAAGTTCAAGAGTAAGAGTCATAAATAAATAGGAAAAGAGCTCCAGTGGAGTAGACTATAGTGTGTTGAACTGCTAACTAAAAGGTACAGTTTGTCTATTGGTTTAAATCTTTATGATTTAAGCCTATCAGGCACCTGTCTCTTCCATCTCAGGTTTAGTATATAAACATTTCCATATAATTTATTGTCCAAAACCAAACAGTTCTGGTATTAAGAGGGGTGCTAATAACAACTACTCTGGGAAAAATAGGTATAAACATAGACTATCCTTAGCAAATCTAGTCATAATATCAACCTTATTATATAGGACTGAATTGCCCAGGAGTAGAGGATCTTGGGTATTTTGGTCTTAGATTCCAAGGGGCAAGGCAAGACAACTTCAGCTGTGGGAAATAGGGTGGCTTACTTATTCTTGAAGTCTTCCACCAGCCCCTGCATGTTGCCCAGCTCTGCTTCCAGCTTCATCTTCTCCTGGCCAAGGGTGTCCAGCTGCCTCCTAAGGTTGTTGATGTAGCTCTCGAACATGGAATCCATGTTGCTACGAGATGTCTTCTGCTGCTGTAGGAGGCTCCACTTTGTCTCCAGCATCTTGTTCTGCTGCTCCAGGAACCGTACCTACATGAGGGCAGGAGCACAAAAGTCAACATCAGGCCAAGATGCACAGCCTAGGGTGGGGAGCAAGTGCTTGGAAAGTTTAAGTTCTCTCTTCCTCTAATCCTGCATGCATATATATATATATTATTTATTTATTTATATTTTATATGTATACAATGCCATCAAGTCAGAACCAACTCATAGCTGAGCCTCCAATGGATTTTCAGAGGCTGTATATCACACAGGAAGAGATTGCCTATCTTTCTCTCTCAGAACAGCTGATATATTAGAACAGCCCACCTTGGGGTTGGCAGCACAACTCCTTTCTAATTAGGCCAGTAGAGTGTCCTATGCAGTGAGGTCCCTGAAATCTAGAGACCTGAGTAGTTGTTTTGGAAGGGTCACCTGTGACCTTAAGGAGACAATACAATGAGAGAGGTAGGGAGCTATGCTTCTCCGGTGTTGGGAGGAGTGGGGAGCATGGCTGCAAGGGAGTAATTAGGGAATTTATATTGAAGCTGTGTGCACCTAGCAAACAGTTCTTATTTATTTAGATTTGTCTATAACAGATCAACAAAAGTAGCCAACTTTCCTAAGACATGCTTTTATTTATATTTGTAAGATTAAAAATAGAAAATGTAGGTTGTTATATCAAATGATATTATCAACAACATTATTAGTTGGAGTGAATATAGGATTTCATAGAGAAGCTTTATCTAAACATTCCTCCAGTGAACACCAACAGGAAGCATAGATCCCCAAAATAGACCTAAGTTGTGCCCTAAGGCCTTGAGTTTCTGCCCCTCTGTGTACCTGGGCGACTCAACCCTGCAATGACCTAGAGGAACTCAAACAGGCCCTTTTACAAGTCCCATTTTCGTCCAGAAGTCACTCAACCAAGGAGATAAGGAGTCTTTGAGGTCAGCTTGAAAACTGAAGGGGTTCACCATCCACCCCATCTCTTTCCATAACGTTCTGTTCTTCTCATATTACTCTACGATTCTTCAAGCATCTGATAAAGGCTGTTCAAAAGACAGAGGATCCTGGAGGGTCCCCTACCCACAGCCTTGTCCCTGAATCCACAATCCTTCCTTCTTATGCCAAACACCCTGGGCTCAAAGAATCTGGATCTTGGGAAGAAATTAGGGAATGTTAGATGGTAGTGTGGAAAAAGCCAACAGACTAGTTCCAAGGCGTGGAATGGTTTTGGTTTTGTTTTTAACCAATCCAAAGTTGTCATGCTTCAGGTTTTTATTAGATTAGAAATCCCACAACAGCCGGTGGTCATCAGCCCCCACCCCCAGCCCAATCTCTTCCCCAGCTCATTCTGCCCCTCAAGGAGAAAAAAATGACTCTAAAATCTAACTCTAATCAACAGGAGTCAAGCCCTTCACATGTATTATAACGTTGAATAGGCAAAAATATCTTTGATGTCCATTTTACAGACGAGGAAAAGCAGACCTAGCAAAGTCTAGAAACTTGGGAGCCAGAATTTAGAACTCGTGCTTAACTACTGACTGTAAGAGTCCTAGAACTAATACAGAGAAGTCAAGCTGTAAAATTAAGAGTGCGTAAAAACAGGCAAGGAGCTAGCACTCTGAAAATCGAGGGAGCTGTCGAATCCCCAAAAGACTCCAATCCCTAATGGCTCTTATTTGCCCCAGGATTTCCCTCCTTCCTCTCCCACAATGCCTCCCAGGAGCCAGTCAGCAGGTAGGGGCCCAATCCTCCTGACCGCTAGGGGCCCTGGGGCCCCTACGGCTGCAAAACCCGGCCTGGCTTTTTCTCTGGGGGAGTGGAGCCTGGCAGCTGGGGCGGACCCGGGTAGGGAAGCGTGTAAGGGACAAGGGCCGAGTGGGATGAGGGGCGTTGGCAGATCTCGTTATCTGAAATCATAAATTCTGGAGTTTAATAGGGCCTACAACTGGACAGTGTGTCAACGCCCCTTACTGGCCACAGACTTTGAATCCCGGATGGGTGCTTTTCTGAAGTCAGACACTAGGGTGTCTCCCCCACCCCACCCTATGCCACCCCACCCTAGACATACACCCAACCCCACTGAGCTCAGTCAGATAGACGAGGACATCTCAAAGCCCACAGACCTCTGCCCTCTGGGGCGGGTGTCTGCCCCTCCTAGCCCCGCCCCGCACTGCAGGATCCCAGAGCTGGAGCCAAGATATGACTCACCTTGGTGCCCCCACACTCAAGGCCCTGGGGCACCAAAAACCTCAATCAATATTTGCCTGTTTCAATCAAGGAACTCTCAGCTCTATCCTGGAATCCTATCAAACTCTTAGGTTTAAAAAAAACAAAAAAAAACCCAACCAACCAGGAACCATTAAGTAGCCAGAGGAGCCCCATGTGCGAGAAGAACCTGGAGGAAGGGGCTCCCCTTAGAAGCTGGGACTTTTCCATGATAAAAAATGCCCTTGATCAACCCCTCTTCAACTTTGGGAAAGTTTGAGGGGAGAAGAAGCTCCAGGATTCAGAATAAGATCTAGGTGGACCCTCCTCTCCCCATCCCAGTCCCAGCTCAACGTGCAAGAGCGAAATGAGTCATAGAGTTGCCAGTGGGTGGGGCCAGCTGGACGCCGGTGGAGGAACTGGAAATGTGCCCACCTCATGGTGGCCAGGAGAGAGAGTGCGGACCCTCGTGGGGTATGGCCAGGCATGCAGGGGGAACTCTCACCTTGTCTATGAAAGAGGCAAACTTGTTGTTGAGGCTCTTAATCTGCTCCTTCTCCTGGGTGCGCACGGCCTGGATGTTGGGGTCCAGCTCCATCTTGACGGGGTTCAGCAGGCTCTGGTTCACCGTGACGGCCGTGATGCCTCCCATACCTGCCCCACTGTAGCCCCCAGCCAGACCCATACTGGCGCCCAGGCCTCCTCGGAAGCTGCCGCTGCTGCCCACCCGGGAGAAAGCTGAGGAGCTGATGCGGGTGCCGGGCCCGCTCGTGTAAGAGCGGCTGCTGAAGGCCCGGGGGGTAGAGGAGGACATCTTGTAAGACTTCTGGGTTACCCTGATGGACATGGTGGAGGCTAGAGGTGAGGCAGCTGCAGAACCAGACAGAAGATCAAGAAAGGCCCAAGAAGCTCCTTCTAGGTGGGGGAGACAACTCCCAGAGCCCTTTTATAAAACAGAGCCCTGCCCCAGGGCAGGGGAGCGGCCTTGTACCTGAGTGGCTAAATCCGGAGAGGGCAGGGCCTAACTCAACACCTGCCACCTCCAGGCAGGACTCAGGTGGGGGCAGCAGAGAGCTGCTTCCATCTAGGGCACCCCCACCAGCCCTGCCCGAGAAACCCCAGGAAAAGCCTGTTAGTGAATGAGAAACTGGGAGAACAGCCCGGGAAGCTCTCTGTAACTGGAGGACTTACACTGGACCCCCATCGGTTGGAACCTTGATTTGTGGGTTTAATCTCCTTCCCTCCCATGGGAAATAAACTGGAGATCTGAGAAGCGTAGCAGAAAAGGGTCCCCAGGCAACTAAATGGGTGGCTCTGAGCACTGATACTCACAAAGCCGGAAATGCTCTTCTCTTCACCTCTGAAGGATTAGAGGGAGAGGGGCTGCCTAGGTGCCCTTTGATCCAAAACCTTTACCTGGAGGTCAGCTGTTGCCACTGTCCTGTAAGCGCTGTATCTTCTGCAGTTGGGACTGTGGCAGGTTCCCATGAGAGGCTCTCGGTATTTGTGGAATGAATGAATGAATGAATGAATGAATGAATGAATGAATGAATGGAGATCTGCCACCTTCTCTCAGAATCTATTGGTGTAGCTCAAAAGTTCAAGTTTATTGCCATCAAACTTGGAAGTGACTCAACTAGTTTTTGGAGGCTGTAGATTGCACAGGAGGAGGTCGCCCATCTTTATCCAGCAGAGCTGCTGATGGATTTGAACAAGCCAGAGGCATCATTTTTCAGTTAGCAGTGCAAATCCCTATAGACTGCATACCCAGAGCTCCTATAGGTGTAAGACAGAGTGAAATCCATTCAAGACAGCACCTTTTCTAGACAAGACAGACTGTTGTCTTCTCTTTCCAAGTTCCCAGAATTCCCCATCCAGACCTAACACTATAAACCTTGCTGAAGAAACTGAAAGTGCTGAGAGGAATGAGGGAAGCATAGAGGAGAAAGGGGCTGTGTGGCTTGGGTGTCATCATTGTTCTTCTGGCTTGGAGGAGTCATTCAGTAACTCCTAATGGCTGAATCACTGAGACAGGGAAAGGAGAGTGTGGAGTTGGGTGGAGTGGCAACTTATGGCAAGAAAGCCTGCAGTCACCTGGATTCTCAGTTCTTCCCAGGCCCCTAGTTGGCCAGAGAAGCTGGAAGAGTGTTTGCACCTGTCTCCCTGAACCCATTATCAGAATGAGTCAGGAGAGCAGGTTGGGGCACAGCCGACACCTGCAGAAGGAAAGCTCAGCAAGGCACCTGGGGGCCTGGGTGTGGCTGGGTAGGGCACGCTGTGGGTGCAGGCTGTGGGCAAAAGGCAGGAGGTTTGGGTCCTCGAGGCAGGCATTCCAGCTGCAGCAATTACCTTATGACTGGGTTGGATTCTCCGAAAGGTACTGCAGGGCACAAGATTGGGGACTGGATTAATTTTAACCTGAGTAACTGGAGAAGAGTGTTGAATATACCATGAATGGCTAGGAGAACAAACAAGTTCATCCTAGAGAAGGTTAAACCAGGCTGCTCCTTGGAGGCAAGGATTCTGGAGCTTCATCTGATATACTTTGGACATGTTGCAAGGAGGGACCAGTCCTTGAAGAGGGACACCATGCTTGGGAGCGTAGAGGGACAGCACAAGAGAAGAAGACCCTTGATGAGATGGATTGATTCAATGACTGGAGTAGTGGGGGTAGGTGCGTTGGAGACAGTGAGCTAGGACAGGGCAGGATATAGGGCTGTTGAACATAGGATCACTATGAGTCGCAAGTGACTCGATGGCACATAGCAACAACAACAACAGATAAAAAAGCCACAGATCCCAGGAGCGAGAGAACAGGGAATGGTATAACAACCTATTAGGAGGACAATTATACAGACATCTTTTCCATCCTTTTCCAGGAAAAATACTCAGGCTCCCATAAGAGGGTCACACAGCTCCTTACCCAGAGCACAGTCTTTCACCAGCCACTCTGCTTTCTCAGGGGACAGAACTAAATCCAAACATGCACACACACATGCACACACATACACACACACACACACACACACACACACACACAGAGTAACATCGAAGTACCTCTCAGAGATATTCACAGACCCCTAGAGATGACCCCCAAGGCTACACCCCCTGCTCTTCCCCCTCCCAGTCCTTCCCTGGCGTCTCATATGTGCTGATTTAAGCAGACGGACATTCAGTTAGCACCTGTCTGCACCAGGCCCTCTACCATCTTTTAGAACACATTTAATATCTCCCAAAGGAGCCTTGTGGCTCAGTGGGTACGTGCTCTGCTGCCAGCCAGAGGTCAGCAGTTTGAACAGGTCTACAGCCTGCTGCACAGAAGAGAGATGTGGGCCTCGGGAACCCTGGGCTGCAGTTCTCTGTCCTGTGCAAGGTTGCTGTGAATAGGAATTGACTCCACAGCGGATTTGGTTCAGTTTCCATTTTCACTGAATGCTTGCTACCGCCTCCTCTAACAAACACCCACGCCCAGCAACATTAAGAGATTTCTCCTTCCAGTGACCAGAGGGAGGAGGGGATGGGCCCAGTGCCAACGTGGGACAGAGAAGGCGGAAAGAGAGAGGGAGGGGCTGGTCAGACAGGTATGGCAGCCCTGGGGAGAGAGGACAACCAGTACCCCTCATGCCCTTCCCCCACACCATTGTCGGAGGGGCCTGGAGGACTTTGGAGGAGAAGACCTATTCCTGGTGATAACACAAAATAACAATCCTGAGTCCCTTCTGGAAATTCTGTCTCCTCTATTTCCTCTGCCTGCCCGACTCCCTGGTTCCAGAAATGTGTCTTGCCTAAGGCACTGGCAAGGGAGGCTGTGGTTTGCAGGCTAGAGGGCTGACTCAGATCTTACCCTTGAGAACCCCTCTTTTCTGGGGTGGCCCAGAAGTCACTGAGGGGGGGGGGTGTTTTATCTCTTGTGTCAGTTTCTGAAAGCCCAGAGACCCAGGCAACCCCGCCCTCAGCCTCAGTGGAAAAGAGCAGAGGTGTCCTCTATGACCCCTACTTGGGCCTCCAGGTGTGGAAACACAAAAGGAAAGCCCCTGGGTCTCGGGCCAAGTGGTGAGAGAAGGAGAAACTGGAGTGAGGTGGCCTCAGGCACAACTCCTTGTAAGGCTGTCTCTGGCCACTGCTGTCTACACCACTGCATAGCCAACAAAGCTGGAAGTGTTTCGGTGGCTGTGTCCAAACAGAAGATCCGCCTCAAACCGCATTGCCTGAGGAGCCAAAGGAAAGGAGAGACTTTTGGTCCTTGTAAGTCAAAAGTGGGAGTCCAGTTCCCTACCTCCCTGGGGTACAGGATGACCTCAGGAGGCCCTGAAACTTCAACACCAAGACAAGGTGGGTGGGCCGAGTTCTCATTGCACCACTTGAAATCATCAGAAAAGACAGTCTGAACAATTTTTTTCCCCTAGAGATCAGGACTGATCACGTACCATTCTCACAACAGCATTAATCTTAACAGCCAAAAGTGGAAACAATGCAAATGTCTGCCAGATAATGAATAGACAAACAAAACATGGTGTATCCATCCAATGGGCTACTATTCCCAGTAAGAAAGGGAGGAAGTATCAACACAAGCTGAAAAATGGATGAACCGTGAACACATTATGCTGCATGGAGGAAACCAGTCTCAGAAGGGCAGATGTTCTATTACCTCACTCCTATGACTTACCAGAACAGGAAGACCACAGACACAGAAGGGAGAAGAGTGGTGGTCTGGGGGTGAGAAGATGGGGATGGCTGCTGATGGCACCCGGTTTCTTTTGGGGGTGATAGAAATATCATAAAATTTAGTAATGACAGTTACTCAATTCTGTGAATAGGCTGAAAGAGAAACAAACCGTACTTTTTAAATGGTTGAATTATATGGAATGTGATTTATCAGTCAATAAAGTTGTCCCATACAGAAGCCTAAGTCAGCCACACAAAACTGGGGCTTTATAAGTCAAGGAGCATGAGAGGGAAGTTTGCTTAGATGCTAAAGGAAATGTTCTCTGCCTCTAGTTAATAGCTCAAGTCCCCCAAAGCATCAAGTTTACTTTAAAAGATGGAACAATTTAAAATGTTATTGTTGGCATAGAATAAGCTGAGTTTAGAACCCAGGCAGCAAGAACAATTAGCTTAAATAGAATGCCACAGATGGTAGGCACACCCATCAGTAAGCTACATCATGAATAATAAAACTGATTTGATTACCAATTTTTGGGTTTGTCCCTGAAGCCCAAAATAACTCATAGAGATTATTTGGGAAATAGTGGCTGACTGTTTTCTTAACTGTAAAAGGGAATTCTGATGATTAAAGCCATTCAGAATGGGAACAGGCTGCCTAGACAGGCCAAACTTCTGCCTCTAGAAGTAGTGAAACTAAGTCCTGCTGACCGGCCATCCACAAGTTCACTGTGGCCAGGGTCCAATGTTAGCAATTTGGACTTTGTTGCCGTTAGCTGTCATCAAGTAGGTCCTGCGTCATGGCAACCTCACACACAGCCGAGCAATGCTGCCTGATCTTGCACCATTCCCATCAAAAGCTGGGGATCGGACTGTTATGATCCATTGGGTTCTCACTGGTTGATATTCAAAAGTATATCAGTTTATCTCAGTCTGAAAACTCCACTGACATGGACTCAGTGTCATAGCAACACACAGATTTCCACCAACAGACGGAGATGGCACATGAGATACTCTGGCCTGGAATCAAACTTGGGCATCCAGTATGAAAGGTGAGAAAGATTCTCACCACTGGGAAAATTGACAGCACCATTATTGATGGAGAAGAGATTGAGGTTGTTAACAATTATAGTAGCTTGCTTGGCTCCACAATGAACACTCTTGGCACCAGCAGTCAGGAAATCAAAAAACAAATTGCACTGGGAAAATCTGCTATCAGGGACC